CCCCCATCCACCGCTGCCAGCGCCACTGTCTCACGGCAAGGAGAGCCATCATAACGTATAGCATACCCACCACAGGCACTTGGACCGTTTCAATAATAAAATGATGGTTAATAAATACAACTTGTCAGTACTACTACTGGACCTACCAGTACCAGTAATAGTCTTTCTCTTAATGTTTGATTTGACCTAATAACTTGACCAAGTGATAGTGACCAATACACCGCTGCAACACATAGCGCGCACGCCATTGTGCATGCACAAATACACAGTAGGTTAGAGTGGGTATACTCTAATACTCTAACCTACTGTGTATTTGTGCGTGCACAATGGCGTGCGCGCTATGTGTTGCAGCGGTTTATTGGACGGTATTGAAGTGAAGTTATATTAGGTCATATCAAACATTAAGAGAAAGACTATTACTGGTACTGGTAGATCTAGTAGTAGTACTGACAAGTTGTATTTATTAACCATCATTTTATTATTGAAACGGTCCAAGTGCCTGTGGTGAGTATGCGCCGGATCGTGCGAAGCGCTGAATTAAATTTTCATTAATTCAATTACGCAAAAACGTTCGCTTTTAATTACGACCTGATCTCGGTAAAGCTTCGGCGGCGTAATGAAGTTTGTCGTGAAGTTATTACCAGCAGTAATCTCATGGGGGGAGAACAAGGGCTGAGCGAGGAGGATGACAACAAGCGCGACCGCGCTTCTGCACCATATCGTGTCACGAAGAAACCATTGTCAATACCTCACGTCATCAATCACAGCCGTTACTTCATAACATGTTTATTAAGTCACACGGCGTCACCCGCCGTCGATCGTAAGAGAAATGCTTTAAACGCAATTAAAGGCAGCAGTGTGAGCGGGGGTAATTTAAGGCATCTTACCTGCATCCCCGTGATCGAATGGCGTCGGTCGACCAACTCGTGTTGAGTTGACTCGCCTGGGTGTAGGAGCCCGAGGGGGGTATAGTGTCCGATTCCAGCGCGCAACCGGAACCGCGTGCAGCTAATCGCAGCTTACACAGATCTAGTTAGTCAGGCTTACGCACGAAGACCTAGGAAAGTGGGCATAACCTCGTAAAGAGAGGGCTGCCGTTATCCGGGCTCACTTCCGAATGGTTCTATTAGTGTAGAGAGAGATAGAGAGAGGAAGCCTGGTCGACGGCGGAGGATGCACGTTGGACGAGCCGCGATACGTGTGTTGTGTCAGTGCGGGTCCGATGCTGGGCCGGGACTGCCTGCCACGCCTCGTGGTGACGCTCGCTAGGCTACCTATACCATGCACGCACACACGCCCCCTGATGCGCTTGAATAGCCTCTCGCGCGAAGCATCTCTTCTATATTATATTAGAGGCAGCGCTGCGGCAGATGGACCGATGACCTGGATTACTCGGGCACAGTCGCACTGTTCGCGGGTCGCGATTGTCACGAGGTACGAAGCGATTGTTGTGGAGTATCAAACGGATAATAGATTTTCTAACGCGGCAGACGGAAACGATTCCCGCGTCTTATGCCGCCCCCTTGCACAGTGGATATCCCTAAGCCCCCGCTGCTCAATAGCCTTAACTCTTGTCTATTATCCCACTAATTCTCTGGGGGGGAGGGGGGAATGAGATGGGCTTTCTTGCGTGGAGGAATATGTTCGTTGGTAATAGTTCGCCCATTGTTTCTGATACATCTTCCCTGTCTTACATGCGCCGTTGTTCTATTTCAAATTTTGTCGCGTGCTGCTTTACGCGTTTAGCGTCTCGTCGTTATATTCGCAGCTTTTCCTTTGCATTTCACATTATTCTCATCTTTGGTTTTTATTGGAAACCGCGTACTTATGCTCGCTGTCGCTCCCTTCGATTCTCGATTAACAGAAAATACGCAACGACGCACATACCAAAATCCTGACACACCCACCTATGCCCATTCCCCTTACCGTTATAAAATGGAGACGATCTTTTTGATTAGCAATATTCTAAAGCTGGTCTGTGAGACAACATGCTCATAACAACCAATCTATCTCGACTAATAACACAAACTAGCCCTTCATATTAACCTCGTGTGCTTGAATTTATGGCTCCTCGCCCACTTCTGACTCCGGAGGCGAAGTAATTACTGATCGATGTCCTAATGCCACATTAGGTGTTAGTAGACGTGCCATACGCCATATGAGCGCACTAGTGAAACCGAACACAGTAAACAATTATATCAATATAGTCGCTAATAAAAGGCCAGCGTCGTTTATTAGTGTACGCCGCCTCACGCACGCCCCTGGTGTGTATGCCTGTCTGTCGGTATACTAGTGTTTCAGCTTATAATGCTCATGGAATACCGCATCTCACTATTACATCTCGCTGCTTCCCTGCTATACGCAGGCAAATGGACAGACGTAGGCTTACATAGTAAAATTTCGTCGTTCTTCCTGCGGGTCAGATTACTAGCTTTTGAGTAGTTTAGTGTGCGCCGAGAACAGAGTTAGAGCATGACACAGAGACTAGTGATCGTTCGCATGAAGCTTCCCAATGACGACTACGCAATGCTATTATCAGCACCTACGCTCATTTACGACCTAATATCTATCATGAACACGCACGGGCGAAGCTAAATGGGTCGTCTGCGAGGAACTGGATCAAGCCACAAGAGATGTCGCGCGCGGAAGAATACGAGGTTGTGATTTGGTCGAGTTGCAGATATTTCCGACGCAACGTGACGTCAGCAAATGCAACTCTTGTATGCAGCTGCTTTTTTTCATGTGTAGATAACCTGATCTAGCAGCGGCCCACGAAGTATTTTCGGTATATTTTTAACAAGAATAAGACAACATGGGCGGAATCCCCCAACATAACCAGAATAAACAATTTCAAATTACGCTCGAGTCGCACACATCTGCTATACCTTTCAAACACGGCGAGCGACATCTAGCGATGGCTTAGAGCGGATTTCAGTATATTTATCAAAAAATAAAAGAACACGGCGCGGAATCCCAGCATTAACAATGGCGCCGTATACATGGCGTCCGGAAAACCCCGAGCGAATCCACCGCCTCGTCTATTCACTTGCCTACGCGGATACGATTGCGATTCGAATAAAATTGACCGCGTCACCGCCAAAATCCCATAACTTAAACTGCATTTGCACTAACCCTTGACAATACAAGCTTTTGACAGAATCGCTGCGAGGCGGTGAGCACTCAATCTTATGATTTATAAATTTTCTTTTACATATACTTAGGAGCAGTGAAATTTCGAGTTTTCAACATTAAATTGAAATATAGGCGTGACAGATCCGCCTAGTGCTGAATGGCAGACTGCATATGCTATACAAAGGAGAATCGATAGAACTAGGAATGGAAAAATCTTGGAACAGGGAACCCGTGGCGTTCTAGTTAAGAAATGAGAGCAGAGTAATGTACGACTCGTACCACATCCGGTACAATTGCTCATCCGACCACAAACATGGATGTGAACGGTGTTGGTTTGCGCAGATCAAGAATACCGCAGAGCATAGAGCGAAACTTATGTCATCATCCGAAAGGACACGATGAAACATGCCGAGCTCGAAGGAAAACTCCAGGAAGATGTCGGCAGTTCTGACTCAGATTTCGTAGATCTGGAAATAGCGTGGAGATCCTGTAGCGCGGCTTCAGGTGTCGTGTAAGACACACACGGATACCGCCATCACAACCCACGTTATTAGGTATACTGAGCTACCGGATGCACCCGTAATGTCATCCGTTGGAGTCTAACGACGTGCGACGCCCCCCTTTCCTTGTACGACACACGGTCAGCGAATCCTTTAGGCAGACATCATTATGTAAATCACCTGAATAAGACCATATAGTATAGAATAATATTTCGGCAGATAATTACAGACGTGCGCCAACACGCTTACATCACCAGAAAAATAATCACCGTCTCATTTTTCGACGCGCATTTGCAAGCAGGGATCCGTTTCTGATGGGGGTGCGGGTTAATGTTGGGTTCGTCGCTCATCCACGTGCGACGTGACGGTGTGATCGGGTGCAACCTAGCCGGAGACAAAGCTGCGGGGCTTCACACAGAAGATACAGGCACATGCAGACCTAAAGCATTCGCTGCCTGATGATCGCATCCATATTTATGTATTAATTCTGCAGATTCACTACTTCTGTCAAGGTGGGAGGGCTGATGCAGCGGAAGTGTCAGGGAAATCGGAAATCGGGAATTAGAAACGGAAACGAAAACGGAAGCAGGGCGGTTCGCTTATATCGAAGGAAAAGACGCTCAGATATAGACGATCAGTAATGATAATCGAGATAGCGCAACGGAAGCTAATTAAAAGATATAGCTACTGCTAAAAAGCGACTTTCACTAATCTAGTATTTTCTAAATGGTACTTTGATCATTGTTCAGTTATGCTAAGAGTAATATTAAAAATATTTAACATTAAAATATTAGGATTGGCGCTTTATTGTAATAATCTTTAGCAACGGGTAAAGGGTGAAAAACGTAAGAAAACACGGTTGTCAGGTGTAGCTTTAGTATATTATTAAAATTGAATAATTATTAATCTCAATTTTCATTATGACACCAATTCGATGGCACAAGAATGGCGTGTTATCAAAACAATATCAATCCCATACCGATTAATATTAATGCTTTTGGTCGCCTTTCCGCCGGATGTGAACGACCCTAACCGAACACTCAACACATGGTTTTCGGGGCAAAGGTTCATCACACCAAGGAATAGGTGTCTCTCAATTCGCTTCGCAGCTGTAAATCACGTTTAGTATAAGGGATTGTCTGTCTCTCGGGCATGAGGGATTTAGATTTTATGGTCAGCGTAAGGGTAACAGCACACTGCGATTATTGGAAATTCTGTGCTCCTGTGTGTGCGCACGCGCGCGTGCACGTGCGTGCTTGTGTGCGGGGAAGTGAGTGCGCATGCACGTATTCGTGCGTGCGTGAGCGCGTGTGTGCGCGTGGTCTTTCACCTAATAAGTGTGGCGCACAGCGTACATCAGCGCCGCGTGCGCGATAATTACACGACTTTTTTTTTTATAGCAACCGACAAGTGTTTCAGCGAATGAACGCTAGATATAACAGCCTTGTTAGTCATACTAATCACACTGCGTACGCATGATCCGCATATCGCAGCTTAAATTGCTTACTGCCCCCGCGTCCCAATATATAATGTATTCCAACTAGTTTCTATCCATTGAGAGCATTCACAATGATGAGCATTGAGATCATTTCACTATCGCACGATGCAAAAAGCACACGGTGACGCGCCTCTATTGTGGGCACTCTGCTGTGAGGCACCCTGCACACAGTGAGGCTTGCGATCACGCATGCACGCAGACTGCTGCTAGTAGAACCGCTCGGGCGATGTGAGTAGCGATCGGTACACGGCGCAAAACATTTGATTGCTTTCGAATGTTTCTGAAATTCAATTGCTGTGGCGCGGAATTCCTCCGTCGGCACGCTTGTCGTCGACGCTGTCGCATTCCGGTCGACGTGACACGCACGCATGATGATAATAACAGTCGTCGTGGGCGCTAGCAGGGCGTCGTGCTGTGACAAGTGCTTGGCAGATTAATACCATACACGCAACCCGGATTCGAAGCTGATACCAACTGCGTTGAACACGAAGTGCAGTACTTGACGCACGCTGGTATTTCATAAAGGAAATTGATTGCTCCGGCCACACGATGATTGGCTCTTGAATGGTATAACATTACATTTCTGGGCAGGCAGACAGATGTAAGCTACGAACACTCTTACATTCCTGAAAGACGAAAAAATGTAATACCGTGTTGTAATTTCGACCACTTTTTCTCTCTCTTCCTTATTATATCCATATCTCTCTTCCTAATCCCCTTCCTTCGCTATATCTCCTATTTCTCATTTTCTTCTTTTCCTCCTTCTCCCATTATGAAGAGGGATATGTGTAATTAGCCTCGTATATAGTAGGAAACAAATTACTCACTTTTAATAAAGATATTGATATAACTATTAACATATTGAACACTCACATTAAAA